CTCACGTTGGCGCCGAGCGGGGGCGAGCCCTGGTCGCGCGCCTGCAGCGTCAGCTCAAAGGCGCGCAGCTGCTCGTGGTCGAAGGCGCGCTGCGCGAACACCACCCCGCTGTGCGCGCTCACCGACACGTAGGACGACAGCGCCCGTGGCTCCAGGTCGCTGGCCACGATGGAGTAGGACACCTGGCCATTGGGTCTTAGGTCGGGGTCCGAGGCGCTGACCTGCGCTATGGAGGCCCCTGGCGGGTTGTTTTCTGCCACGCGGACGAGATAAGAGGCCTGGTGGAAAACAGGAGCATTGTCGTTGACATCATCGATGTTTAAAGTGACACTTGTTTTGGAGGAGAGGGGAGGTTTGCCCTTGTCAGTGGCTGTGATGGTGATGTTGTATTCCGCAGTCTGCTCTCGATCTAGGGCTCCATCCGTCACCAACTTGTATGTATTTTTTGTATCTTGAACTATTTTAAACGGGGAGTTTCCATTTAGTTGGCATAGGATTTCTCCATTAAAGCCAGAATCCAGATCATGCGTTTTGATCAGGGCAACAACAGTCCCCAGCTCTACATCTTCTGGTATATGTTTAGATTCAGAATCCAGGGTTATCTCAGGAGCATTATCATTTTCATCCAAAATATCTATCTGTATTTTAGAATGCGCTGTGTGACGTCCACCATCCTTTGCTTCTACCCCAATTGTGTAGCGCTCTCTCTCTTCAAAGTCCAGTCCTCCACCAGTGGAGACTTCCCCTGTTTGACTGTTCAGCTTGAACAGCTGTCTCACTGCCTTACCTACGTTGATGAAAGTGTAGGTGATCTCGGCATTGATGCCCTCATCCAAGTCAGTGGCCATCACTCTTAGCACAGAGGAACCAACTGGCAGGCTCTCTGGAACACTGACCTTGTACATGTCCTGGGTGAACACTGGGTGGTTATCATTTACATCTACTACAATCACCCTGATCTGGGTAGTGCAGCTTCTGGCAGGCTCTCCCCCATCCACAGAGGTGAGGACCAGGTGGTGGTAGGACTGCTCTTCCCTGTCCAGGGGAGCCTTCAGCACCAGTTCTGGGTACCTAGTGCCATCAGGGTTCTCTTTCTGGGTCAGAGAGAAGTGTGGGTTGGGGCTGAGGGAGTACTGCTGTAGGGAATTGACCCCTACATCAGAGTCTTGTGCGGATTCCAAGGCAAAAGTGGCTCCAGTTAGGGCCAGTTCACTGATTTCCACTTCAGTGATATTTTGGCTGAAGGTCGGTGGGTTGTCGTTGACATCCTGAATCACCACAGCTATATGAAAAAAGTTCAAAGGCTTTTCAGCAACCACTTCGAACTCCAGAACGCACGTTGACTTCTTGCCACAAATCTGCTCTCGGTCTATACGGTCGCCCACAAGTAAGTCCCCGTTCTCAGTGTTCACAGTAAAGAATTTCTTCTTGGCACTAATCCGCAGGTTCTGAGCAGGCAAATCTCGCACACCAAGCCCCAAGTCCTTGGCGAGATTCCCCACCAGCGAGCCCCTGGCCAGCTCCTCAGGAATAGTATAGAGGATATGCTCGGAGAGCGCCGAGCAGAACAAAGGCAGCAGGAGGAGAAAGGGCATTCGCCTCCGCCCAGCCTGGCCCTGCGGTCCCCAGCGGTTTCCCATCCCGCTTTCTGAGCGTTTTCCTTACTGATTCGGAAGAGCAGCGGTCGATCCCTAAATAATCCCAAGAATTCTCTGAGCAGGAGCGGTTCCTTGATTTGTCTTGGCAGACAAATTCTCTGATCGCTAGCTTCTCTGCCGAGAGCCGGAGAGCGCACAGTTCTTCCCGATTCCTCCGTATGATGGCGATTCCTTTTTCGTCAAGAGCCAACACTTCGCTCAGTACTAGCCGACAGCGGCACCCCGCGACTGGGCTGCAGAACTGCAGTAGTGGTTACTAAATCAGCTCCAAATCCCAGCCGCAAAGAAGACATTCCCTCTGTGTCCTAATGCAGATACTTTTCTTCCCATTTTACAAGGATATAATATTTTAAATGTTCATTATATCTTCAGTCCGGTTGTCATTTCTTTGAACGTGAACTGTACTCATCCAAATTAAGCGAGTTTTAGAGAGCAGAAGTACCTTGCTGAAGTACCTTACTTATTGGCATAGTTGTGCTTTTAGTTTTCATTGCCATAAAGTGGTCATAACAATATATTCCCTGCTTACCTTAGTAGAGTTGAGGACAAAATAAAATAATAAATAGAAAGTAATACAAATGAAATACAGTGTGGGTGGTGGCAGATGGTGTAATAGGTAAATTCTTAAAATAATCATTTGCATTGTTATTCCACTCTATTTTCTTTTCCTGTCACTTATAAAATTAACAAATCTTATAGCTTTTAGTTTTATCCTATGCCTCAATTTCTTCTCTTCTCTTTATCATCTTCTTCCCAAAGTAATTGATAGACATCAAGGAGATTGGTAGTCTTTACAAAATAGAAGTATGGTAAGAAGCAAGATACTCTATTTTCCAAGTGTCTACTTCCAATTAAATTATTATGATTTAAAAATTATACTATTCATTTTATTTTCCCACAATACATTATTATCATTGTTAATCGCATTGTTTCTTCTCAAGTATCTTTTAAAAATATATATATTTTATTTTTTATTTTTTTACAGAGAGGAAGAGAAAAGGATAGAGTTAGAAACATCAATAAGAGAGAAACATCAATCAGCTGCCTCTTGCACACTCCCTACTGGATATGTGCCCACAATCAAGGTACATGCCCTTGACTAGAATCAAACCTGGGACCCTTGAGTTTGCAGGTCAACACTCTATCCACTGAGCCAAACCGGTTAGGGCTTCTCAAGTATCTTAACAGTGGTGAGTTATTCGGATTATTGGGGTGAAGAATGAGTCCTAATGATTATATATCCCAGTGAGTAATCTATGTTGTCCACTTTTCTTTGGGCCCCAGGTAATATTCTGATAATTATTGACACTTTCTTTGTCAATAAGCATGCCAATTTCAATGTTTCTGATAGATGTATTACAGTTTCCATTTCATTTCCAAACTAGAAATATTCATAAAGAAATTGTTTTAAACCTACATAATATCTTGACATTCTAAAATTTGACAGGTGTGGAGCAATGTTGAACTCATAGTGGAAGACTATTAGAGCATCTTAAACTGCTCATTGTATTTAGTATTTTAGACAGAAACTCATTGGCATCTCTATACAAACATAAAAACATTACTAACTCAAGACTGTTCCAAAACATAACTGAGCAAGTGCCTTTCCACCACATCTGAACACAATTAGTACAGGAAAGTTATTTTTTCAGAACACATATGAAACTGAAGATTTAAACATTTTAAGAGTATGTGGCATAGAGTATATGTACATGCAGAGTGTGTGAATCAAGCATTTTATTATGTAAAGTATACTTATAATATACTCATAAAATTTAAGTCACATAGACCAGGATTTTATTAAGAAAAATCTATTAATTTAAGATAAGCACAGTCCCTGATGAATGAGTTTTAAACACTGAAACCATTTTAAAGTTGAATTGATTTTCCAAACACAAATGTGAAATTTATTCAAGTTTATAAAGTCTATAGAGGTTTAAAATATATTTCTCCATTGCATGAAAAAGTTAACTCAGGACATATACCCAATTCTATAACCTTTTTTTAAAAAATGCAAAAGTGAGTTTTTATGTAGAAATGAATGATATCAGTATCTATCATACAGGTTCTCATGTTATTCTTTGGATACACTCACTATTCAGTGAGTCTGTACATTTTACATTGAGGTCAGAATTGTCTATATATAAACATAATTGGATCCCCTTCAAATAAATGTTTAAAAAGTATTTAAAAATAAAAACCAAGTGATCTTATGTTCTCAAATGTATCAACAAACCTTTGATATGGTTGATTAATATAGCCTATTATCCCATTAATATTTTATTTCCATTTCCTCCTATTTATCAATACTTTATAGCTGATGCTCAAACTGTTGAAAGCACAAAATTTAGAAGTCAGAAAAATCTTTTGAAAATCATCTCTAGTACATCAGATGCCAACAGTGAATAGGGTAGTTCTTCCATGACACAACACGTACTCATAAAATGTGAGACCCAGACACCTGCCTTTTATTAAGAAAAATCTTAATTTAAGTTAAACATAGCTCTGAGAAATTAGTTTTAAAACTTAAAACCATTTAAAATTTGAATTGACTTTCCAAACACAAATATTAGACTCTTATAATAAAGCAGAATTGTATGCAAATATTCAGGTAGATATTGATTCTGAAAAGTGAAAGGGTTACCTATAACCAGACGGTGCCAGGTGTGTAGCCCATTTGAATTTAATGAATGTAGCAATATCTAAACCTTTGGAGATTTTAAAATGCATCACAGAATAAAGCAGAATTGTAAGGCCCCTCACTGATTTCTTCTCTCAACTAATACACACATCTGATAATTTCATAGTTTAACCCAAACTTTCCAGATTTCAGAATGCCACAGACATTATCATCAATATAAACTTAATCTTTTTTTCTGACATTTCCCATGCAGACTTTCCCCTGTATTTGGCCAGTTGCTTATTCAAATATGTAAATTATTTTTTATTTTTTATTTCTAAAACATATTCACAATTGGTGTTTAGGCAAATATTCAAAAGAAAATATTATCTAACAGTTTGGACTAATCAAAGAAGACAATAAGTTCTGACTATAAGAAAGTTTTTGGGTAAAGTGATGTTTAACCACTTCTAAAGTACTTGTTTAAAAAATAATAAAGTACTCATTTCATTTAAGTGTATGGATATCAGCTAGATTTTCTAAAATATCCACATATCAAAAAATAAGATATATACCTAAAATATAATTTTAATTATCAAATTACACTAAGCTAATTTCTAAATAAAGCAAATAATGATTCACTATTTATATAATTAACCTATTTTAATGCGGGAGAAAAATGACTGAGGAAACAAATGAACAAAATGCTCTAAGCATCCCTATTAAGAAAGAAAACTCACCTGAACAACTTCTAGTCCTTCGTTTACATTTATCTTCTCTGATATCAGAAGAGGCTCGCTTTTCCCACAGCTCTCCTGGCTGATGAGTGTATCAGCATAGTTGGGTTGGGGGAAGATCAGGTGACTCTTCCCAGAGTCAGCAGTGAGGCAGACCTCATGGGAATAGGTTTGCAGGAAAGCCTGCACCCCATCCACGCCCACAAAGTGTGAGGTGGGCACACCTGCCAACCCACCTCCTGAAGCCTGGTGCAGACATGATGTGTGCCAGCGCCTCAGCCTGAGTGCCAGCAAGATGATAACAAAGGCAAGGAAGACACAGGAGACCACTGCCACTGCCACCACCAGGTACAGAGTGAGGCTGGAGTCATCAGGGTCAGCGGAGGGCTCCAGATTGCCCAGGTCGGCCAGGACATCTGGGATGCTGTCAGCCACTGCCACAGTGAGAGTGACAGTGGCAGAGAGAGGGGGCTGGCCATGGTCCTGAACTGCCACCACCAGGCTCTGCTTGAGCGCATCTCTGTCCAGCAGGGCCCGCGCAGTGCGCACCTCTCCCGTGTGCAGCCCCACCATGAAGAGTCCTGGCTCACTGGCCTTGAGCAGGCGGTAGGACAGCCACGCGTTCTGGCCTGAGTCTCTGTCCACCGCCACCACCTTGGTCACCAGGTAGCCAAGTTCCGCGGAACGTGGTGCCAGCTCCACACCGGTGGAACCATCAGTGGGAAGTGTGGGGTAGAGGATTTCAGGAGTGTTGTCATTCTGATCCAACATGAACAGGCTCAGGGACACATTACTGCTAAGTGGAGGGTCTCCATTGTCACTGGCTGTCACCCACAGTTGCAGGTCTCTAACCTGCTCATAGTCAAAAGAGCTCAGTGCATACAGAACACCGGTGTCAGAGTTTATGGAGATGAAGGAGGAAAGAGGCATTCCCTGAAATGTGTCCTTGGCTAGAGAATAAGTGACCTGAGCATTGTTGCCACTGTCAGGGTCATTGGCCGTCACAGAGAATATCGAGATGCCTCTGGGATTGTTTTCTGGAATATAGGTAGAGTACGAAGTGTGAGGAAAGATGGGAGGATTGTCATTGACGTCTGCCACTTTCAGTGAGATGTGGTTTTCTGTAGACAGGGGTGGGTTTCCACGGTCAATGACAGTTAATGTGATGTTATACTCTGAGATCTCTTCTCTGTCCAGGGTTCTAGTTGTCAATAAGTGATAGTAATTATCAACTGACTTTTCCAATTTAAAGGGCAAGTTCCCAGAGATAGAACATGCAATCTCCCCATTCTCTCCAGAATCACCATCATGTACACTAAACAATGCAATTACAGTTCCAGGAAGACAATCTTCAGAGACGGAACTGGCGAGAGAGGTGAGGATCATTTCCGGGACATTGTCATTCACATCCTGTACTGTGACCAACACCGTAGCGCTGGCAAGGAGAGCACCTCCATCCTGAGCTACCACTTCCATGAGGTAGAATCTGGACTCTTCATAATCCAGTGACTGCACTGTTGAAATTCCACCCAGGTTGGAATCAAGTTGGAAAGTCTGTGAGATTTTGTCTTCTTCATTGCGAAAAGAGTAGGTCAATTTTCCATTTATTCCCTCATCTGGATCCGTGGCGGTTAGGGTGAGCAGCCGAGTGCCCACAGCTATGTTCTCTGGAACACTCACCCTGTACTCGGATCGAGTGAACTGGGGCGCGTTATCATTTGCGTCAAGGACCATCACGCGGATGTGCGTGGTGCTGGAGAGTACGGGGTCTCCGCCATCTAAAGCTGTGAGGAGGAGGTCGTGAACAGCCGCTTTCTCCCGGTCCAAGGGCTGTTCTAGTACCAGCTCGGGATATTTTTGTCCATCACTTCCACTTTTCTCATCCAGAGAGAAGTGTATATTGGAACTGAGCTGGTAACTCTGGAGGGAATTCACACCCACATCCGCATCTCGGGCAAAGGGAAGCACTAACCGTGTCCCTGTAGCAGCATTCTCACTAACTTTTACTTTTACTTCCTCATCGCGAAAACGTGGGAAGTTATCATTAATGTCGATTATTTCTACTTCTATGCCATAAATTTTCATTTTATTCTCAACCAAGATGTTAAAATTCACCAGACACCGCGCGCTCTGAGCGCAGAGCTCCTCCCGGTCTATCCTGCCCGCGGTAACCAAGCTGCCACTTCCTGGGTTCAGAGCAAAAAGCTGCGTCCTACCTCTGGAGATGATGCGGACTCCTCGCTCCGCCAACTCCTGAGGCTCCAGTCCGAGATCCTTGGCGATGTTGCCCACGAAGGAGCCTTTGTCCAGTTCCTCCTGCACTGAGTAGCGGATCTGCCCGGCCCTGGCTCCCCGCTGCATCCCCAAGAGCAGCAAGAGCAGGAGCAGCTCTCGGCAGCCCCAGCCCCTCAGAGCACCCGCCATTGCCTTCTTTCAGACCAGTTTTCTCTTAGTTCTGGTTCCAGCCTGCTGTCTCCTTACTTCTTAAAAGCCAAAGGGTACAGATTCCTTGTTGGAAATGGGAGAGAGGCGCGGGTAGAGGCTTTTTCCAGGAGCTTATCCGTCCTGTGTGTGTTTAGTGCGGAAGAAGCTGCGAGTCGGATCGCTTCTAGCAGCAGCTTCTTTCCCACTTTGGTGAACAGCGACGCCCAGAGTCCTAACCAGTTACTACACCAATTCTGTTTTTATATCCTGTTTTACTTCATTTCTAATAATTTTGCTGCTTCCTTTATGTATTGCTGCATGACATTGTTTATATTTAATTAAGGTTTAATTTTGAAATAGCAAGACACATAATCCCTCAATATAATCTTTCTATTATTTTTACTCTAGAAAAGTTTTAATGAATGTACCATTGAGTCTATGATCTTTACTTACTTTTTACCTAGATTGATATCAATAAATTAGAACATTGTAATTCTTACTTCTGTAGGTTTTAAGATTTCATCGTTGTATTAAGATATATTTATGAAAACATGCCCATTTGTACATTAAGAATGCCAAGGAAGTAAGTCTAGCTGTCAACGAACCTTTGCAAAAAGGTCTACTCATTCATGCAAATGGAATTAGTTGTCATATGCAGAAAGAAATGAGAGTTCATTTTGTTACATGTGAGGTCTTTGAGAAAGTTTCCAGTTTTTCCACACTAGAAATAAAGCAGTTACACTATGTTAGACTGAGAGTTTGAGTTGGGTTAGCTATGCATCACGCATATTTTCTATTACCATGTCTAAACTGGAGTTAGACATCATACAGTGACAGACTCTTGGGGGGAGAGAATCTATATAGTGACTGTAGCAAATGGCTTTAGTTCATCATCCATGCAGAAAATATGTCTATAACTTAACAGTGAACAGGCAGCCACTGGACTCTCTATGTTGAGAAAGATATTTAAAGTTATCACCTTTATGTAGTAGCAAAACCTCATGATTTAAAAAATGAACATTTTGGGGAGTCCATTATGTGAGAGAAGCAATTTTTACTTGATGATACCTTCATCGGGAAATGAAAAATTAAGATATTCTACATCTATAAATAGAAAATTCAGAGAATCAAATTTTAAGTACAGAATGTGAGTATAGGTTACAAAATTTTTCTCAATGTACAATTTTCACAAGAGCAATTTGCTATTATACATGAGAGAAAAGTATTTCTTCCATCATTAAGCACACTTGTTAGTAGCAGATACCTCAAAAGTTGCCCATCCTTTTAAAATAGATCTGGAATCCCAGACACTTAGCTTGTAAAGACACTTAGATTGCTGGTGTGTTCAAGTTAGTCCTACCCATGTTCAGTTGTTGACAAGCCATGACACTGGGGGCAATACTTCCTTTCTTTAATATATTTTTAATTGATTTTTTACAGAGAGGAAGGGAGAAGGATAGAGTTAGAAACATCGATTAGAGAGAAACATCAACTAGCTGCCTCCTGCACATCCCCAGCTGGGGATGTGCCTGCAACCAAGGTACATGCCCTCGACTGACAAGAATCGAACCTGGGACCCCTCAGTCCACAGGCTGACACTCTATCCACTGAGCCAGACCAATCAGGCTCTTCCTTTCTTTAGTTCCAAGTTTTCCCAAACTAATAAGATAGGGAGCTCTCTTTACTCTGAAGTACTGTAATTTAAAGAGGAAGTGAAACTAAAATTTGAGTAATAAAAGCCCTGAATATGAAATAAATAGTTTAAGACTCCAATAGTATTAAATCTTCAGAGGCAAGGATTGTAAAGATGAGAAAAAAAGAGAAGAACCTCATGTGGTAAAACGTTGTAATTCTGAACAAATAACTCTCACATACTAGCTAGAAAACCACATCAAGATTTGGATAGATAAAATTAAGGTAAGTATAATAGAAGCAGAAAATTGCCTAAATTCAATCCACATGACAATTAAATATGAAATGGAGACTCCTATCCTAGATAGGTGATTTATTAATAAACACTAGAACCCGAAGTGAAAATAAGTTAAAACTCACCTTTAACATAGTGTCTGAGGCAAATGAACCCTCAGTAACTCCAGGATTTGTACTTGGTACCCACGAGGCATCTTCGCAGAGGAGATCCTGAGGGGGAGCCACTTCCGGGGTTATGTTGAGAAAATTAAATTCTGTCTTAGCTGACTGTGAGGCAACACACAGATTGTAAGAATAGGGCAAAGTCCCCTCACTGTAATTGGGGAGAACCCCAGGTCCAGACTTAGTATTGAGACCAGGCTGAAAGCAGCCCCAAGTGGCGGCACTGGAGGAGCGTCGCAAGCGCAGGGCGACTGCCAGAATCACCGCGAGGAGGAAGAGCACTGAGATCAAGGCCAAGGCCACCACCAGATAGAACTGCAGCTCAGCCTGGGGGTCAGGAGGCGTAGGACGTTCGCTGAGATCCGGAAGGGCCTCTTGTAGGCTGTCAGCAAAGACCAGCAGCAGAGTGGCAGTGGCTGACAGGGGTGGCTGTCCCCCGTCCCGCACGGCCACCAGGAGGCGCTGGCGGGCCGCGTCCCTGTCGCCCAAAGCCCTGGCCGCGCGCACCTCGCCCGTGCGCAGCCCCAGGCTGAAGAGCCCGGGCTCGCTGGCCTGCAGCACGTGGTAGGACAGCCAGGCGTTGTGTCCCGCGTCGGCGTCCACCGCCACCACCTTGGTGACCAGGTAGCCCGGCTGCGCGGCGCGCGGCACCGTGTCGAAGAGCGCGGAGCCGTCGGGCCCCAGCGCCGGGTACAGCACCCTGGGCGCGTTGTCGTTGCGGTCGCCCACCAGCACGCGCAGGCTCACGTTGGCGCCGAGCGGGGGCGAGCCCTGGTCGCGCGCCTGCAGCGTCAGCTCAAAGGCGCGCAGCTGCTCGTGGTCGAAGGCGCGCTGCGCGAACACCACCCCGCTGTGCGCGCTCACGGACACGTAGGACGACAGCTCCCGCGGCTCCAGGTCGCTGGCCACGATGGAGTAGGACACCTGGCCATTGGGTCCCAGGTCGGGGTCCGAGGCGCTGACCTGCGCTATGGAGGTCCCTGGCGGGTTGTTTTCTGGCACGTGGACCAGGTAGGCTGACTGCTGGAAAACCGGGGCGTTGTCGTTGATGTCTATGATGTGCAGGGTGATGGTGGTGCTGGAGGAGAGGGGCGGCTTGCCCCTGTCTGTGGCTGTGATGGTGACATTGTACTCCGGGATCCGTTCTCGGTCCAGGGTCCCCTCTGTCACCAGCTTGTAATAGTTCTTTGAGTAAGATTTCAATGTAAACTCCGTCTTTCCCAGTATGCCGCAGTAAACCTCTCCATTTTCTCCAGAGTCTCTATCTCTTGTTTTTATCAAGGCGATCACCGTTCCTGGTGGAGAATCCTCTGGAAGAGGAGTGAACACGGAGGCGACAATCACTTCAGGGGCACAATCATTCTCATCCAGGATTTCGACTTGGATACTGCAGTGGGCTGCCAGATCCCCAGGATCTTTCGCTTCTATACCGAGAGTATAACTGTTAGCCATTTCGAAATCAAAATGATCCTTCGTCGTGATTAATCCTGTTGTTTCATCTAAGTTAAAAAACTGTTCCACTTGTTCGTCCACATTACGAAAGGAGTAGGTGACCTCCGCGTTAATGCCCTCGTCCTGGTCTGTGGCCGTCACTTGAAGCACAGGGAAGCCTGGGGGCACGCCCTCCTTCAGGCTGACCCTGTACGCCTCCTGGCTGAACACCGGGGCGTTATCATTGGCATCCGTGACTTGGATTTGGATCTGGGTGGTGCCACTTTTCGGTGGGTCTCCACCGTCCACAGCTGTGAGGACCAGTTGATGGAACTTCTGCTCTTCTCTGTCCAGAGAATGTTTCAGGATCAACTCAGGATACTTAAGTCCATCTGGAGCCTGTTTCTCCGTGAGATCAAAGTAGTCATTGTCCCTGAGGTGGTATCTTTGCAGTGAATTAGGACCAGCATCCCTATCCAGGGCCGGTTCTAGAGGAAATGTTTTACCTGGCTTAGTGGATTCTACTATTTTTAAATCAATTTTGCTCTGTTTGAATATGGGCATATTGTCATTTATATCCTGCACCACTACTGCTACATGGAAAATATTTAGTGGCTTTTCAGCGACCGCATCAAAATCCAGAATACACAGAGGCTTCTTCCCGCAAATCTGCTCTCGGTCTATTCTGTCGCTCACAAGTAAGTCCCCGCTGTCAGGATCCACAGTGAAATATTCCTTCTCCGCGCTAACCCGCAGCTTCCGGGCCGGCAGATCCGAGACCCTGAGCCCCAGATCCTTGGCGAGGTTTCCTACCACAGAGTTCTTAGCCAGCTCCTCGGGGATTGAGTAGCGGATTTGGTCCGGGAGAGCCCCGCGGAACAAAGAAAGCAGAAAGGGCAACAATACCTGCCACCACCGCCCCGCGCTGCTCCTCTCCGCGCTCGGCCTCATCCTCCGTCTCCCTCCGCTGCTGCTCTGCTCCTTGGCAGGAGGAAGGAATAAGCCCTCCGTGAAGGGCAAAAATCCGGGGTAGGGGTAATTCCCCTGCGTTGTTCTTGTAACCGAGTCTGTACTGGCCTCCTCCGTGTGGCTGGTTTGAGCAGGAAGTTACCTTCCGAGAGGCTCCCGAAAGCGTCTCAGACATCTTTTTGCTCTTCTTTTGACCTACAGCGACGCCCAGGGGTTTTTCCGTGAAACTGCTCCGATGGTTTGTAAATGTTTTGCAAAGAACTTGTTTGCTCTTGCCTATTTATAGAGTATTTATTTGCTTAAATAGGTATATATTCATATAGTGCCAAAGGTATATTCAGCATATTCTATAGACTCTCCCTCTTTGCTTTCAACAGCACATTTGTTGGAATGAATGAGTGTTCCTTTTTGTGTGTGTACTATTCCAGAGAAATGTCTTGTATAGTGAAGCAGAATTTTATAAACACCCCCCTGCTTTCATACATGTATGAAAGTATACAATATACCAT